CTCTTAAAAGGGACCTTATTGAGAAGGTCTATATCCCCAAGGGTCCCTAAACCCTAAACCCTAAACCCTACTTCTGGCTCTCTTAAAAGGGACCTTACTGAGAGGGTCTATATCCCCAAGGGTCCCCCAATCTCTGACCCCGAACTACGAAACTCCCAATCGCATAAACCCAACAACCAAATCTGTATAGACCCTTGAACCATAGCCCCAAGGGTCCCCCTAATCCTAACTCCCATGGAGCTACCGTCTCTAAGCGCGATTCCTTCGGCGCCTGGCTGGCTCTGGGAATGATGCCATTAGGATTTAGGGTTTAGGATTTAGGATTTAGGGTTTAGGGTTTCGGGTTTCGGGGTTTAGGGTTTCGGGTTCAGGGGTTTCGGGTTTAGGGGTTAGGGTTTAGGATTTAGGGTTTAGGGTTTAGGGCATTTAGGGTTTAGGATAAGGGTTTAGGGTTTAGGGTTTAGGGCATTAAGGGTTTAGGGTAATGTATGGGGCTTGAAATAAAGACCTAGATTATTTTGGGGGGTTTCCGTATTCTAGTTATAGTATATAGTGGGCACCGAAACCCTAGTCTAATTATTAAGGCCCCCGACATTACAAAGGTCAGAAAGAGGTTAGCAACAGTGGCCCGTACCGTCCGTATAGAGATAGTATTACACACTCGGATACACCTCGAAACTTGATTGGAATTATGAACCCCGAAACCCCTAAACCCTAAACCCTAAACCCTAAACCAAGTGCAGTGTTTAGGGCCCAGGGTGCAGCTTGCGAGGCTTGGTCTCCTGAGGGCCAACAGAGACCCTGACAAAAACTACAAGAAGTAATCCCTAAACCCCAAAATCGACCCTTAACCCAAAAAACGGAGCCTTAGCCCCAAAACTGACCCTAAACCCTGTCAGTGCTCTAAGCCAAGATTCAATGTCAGGCAATTTTGTTGACAAGAAGTGCCCCTTCACTGGGCCAGCGCCACAGATCTTGAGGCTTTGGGGTTATAGGGCTTATACCTTGCACTTCGGCGACAATGTCTATTGTCAAGGCTTAGGTTTAAGGTTCAGGGTTTAGCGTTCATGGCTTCAGGAGTATCGGTCGGGTGTTGCAGAGCCGCGAGCTCGGCAGAAACTGTCGGGGATACGTCTATTGCAGCCGGTAGTTGCCCCCAAGCCGAAGCCCTAGAATTCATGAAGCAAGAATTAAGCCACAGGCACGCACGAAATACTCTCTTCATGATTAGTGGTAATTCCAGGTTATAATATAGAATTAAAATATCCCAAGACCCTTTTCTAACTATTCAGGCCCCTACGTCTAAGAAGCCCTGTGCGGCCAAAGCAGATCGAACCCTGACTTTCTGAAACTCCGAGGAAACCCTGAGCCCTAAACCCTAACCGGGGCCTTTCTGAGACTCCCAGGAACGTCAGCATCCGCGGAGCCATCCTCAAGGGCATGTGCATCTCTACGAAGATGAAGCGGGGGAGCCAAACTAAGGTTTTGGGTTTAGGGTTTTGGGGTTTTGGGTCAAGGATTTGGGGATGGATCTGTAGGGATTAGGGGTTGCGGTTTACCAAAGCTTCCCCCAAAACACCTTCAACGAAGCTCTTATGGGGGTATAATGGAGGGTAGTTGGGGGGTCGAGTCTAGGTAGGTTTTCGAAATAAGGTCAAGGATTTAGGGTAAAGGGCTTAGGATCTCGAGTTTGAAGCTTTGGAGTTTGGGAAACATTGTGGGCACGGTTCCTGTTCGAATTTCGTAGGTCATAAGGTTTAGGAGGCTTCGGATGGCTTTACGAAGGTTTCCCAACATGTTTCGAAGCCATCCGCAAACATGTGGAAGGCCGCAAGCGTCAATCCCAGCAAATGATGGGCCCTAGACTCCAAACCCTGAACCCTAAACCCTAAACTCTAAAACCCCAGACTCCAGACCCTGAACCCTCAACCCTAAGCGGTTGAAGGTTTCAGCCTACAGGCTCATCCTCGAAGTGCTACCTCATACCGTCTTGGTGCGGAGCAAATAGCCCTAAAGGCCCATTTACCTGTGTAGTAGATACTTTGACCCTGAAGTACCTCTAAGGCCTATAAGTTTTTGGGCATAGTTCTCTAAATTAGGATCCTTTTTTTTTTATAAGGGTGCCGTACTATATTGGGGACCTAAAAGGAACCCTAATTTAGAGAACTACCCACATGAACCCTGAGGGTAAGTGATGGTATGATGACACATGGAGCAAGGTAGACCCTGCGTTTGCCCCCGGCACCCTTATAAAGAGGACCCTGAATGGGACCCTAATTTAGAGAACTACCCATATACCACATGGAGACATCGACCCTTGGGGTAGTTTCAGATGCGCCGTGTCATGTCGTATATGGGCTAAGCGCATGGCAGCTCATGTCGGTTTAGGGTCTACCTCAAGAACCCAAAACCTACTTTCTTGCAGGGCCCCTATAAATCCCATATTAGGGTTTGTAATAAGAACCTACAGAAAAGTGTGTTTTGGGTTCTTAAGGTAGGGTCGTCCTACTCAGCAGGTTGGCAGTGCTGCTGATTCCGTTTGCGTTTTCTGGGCCTACACCCGGAGCTATCTGAAGCGTAAAACTCCGTTTGTCTGCTCGCTTAGTCGGTAATATGTAATAGAACAGGCCAGTATGGCTAGTAGCTACTGTGCGACACGATAGTACACTATGCTTTGCTATACTACACTATAATATGAATTTCCATCATACAAGATACGATACGAGATCAGAAACACTTGTCAGCCTGGAGGCGCTGAGCTTCCTAAGCAACCAAACCAGGAAACTCTTGCGACGAATTCTGCTTTCGCAACTCGTAAGCATTTGCGGATTTCGACTTCCCAAATCAGACGCTGATGGGGCAGGCGCACCATCATCATCCGACGCAACTATCTGCACTACATCAAGACGCTACGCTGCACTGGGTGACGCCGTGATTCAGTTCTCAGGTCTTGAGGCTGCCCTGGGGTCAGGTTGTCAGATGCTGGTGGGATGTGGATTTGTGCGGGGATTCCAGAAGTTTGAAGGAATTTCATGGAGGTTCCGGGTCCGAGGTTCCGGGTGTTGGCCAATCGCCGACCATGGCGCGGTGGCCATGACCATGTTCGCACATGTACTTCGCTACAAATGTAGTAGTCACGATGGCAACAGCTGAATAATGGCAGAGTGCCCTTTGACTACCAAACCCGTCCCGGCAGAAGCCGAGGACTACTGCAACTAGACCTAGCCAAGCCCGCGTCAACCACTGGGTCTAGATCTCCGGCCCGGGCTCCTATGCAGGAGCCTCAAAACCTTGTAGATCCCTTAAAGGAACCGCTAGAGATCCCCATCATGGTATCTTAAGTTAAGTTCCTTAACCCTAAACCTTAAACCCTGAACCCTAAACCCCTAAACCCCAAACTTGCCATCAAAGGAAGTTCAACCGATTCGAGAAGCGCCACAGCAACCTCGCGGTCCATTGCTCGCCGGCTTTCGAGCCCAAGGAGGCGACTCAAAGAGAGAATCTGAGTTCCTTTTAGGGCCATTTTCGGGGTTTAGGGTTTATAGGGTTTATCTGAGTTCCTTTTAGGGCCATTTTAGGGGTTTAGGGTTTAGGCCTCCTGTGAGGGTCCACCTTTCGAGCCCAAGAAGGCGAATCAAAGAGATAATCTGGGTTAATTTCACGGTCTTTATAAGGCTTCCTGTGAGGCTTCACCCTAAACCCTGAAGCATCAAGGCCAAACCCTAAAGTTCCTTCTTCAAGGCTTCAGTTAAGGGTTCCTTGAAGGCTTCCATAAGGGTGTTTAGGGTTTGGAAGGTTCCGGCTGAAAGACGTGAGCGCGATGGAGGAGGTTTAGGTTTCATGGCTGTTTATTGGATTCGGGGTTTAGAGAGGTTAGAGTTTTCTGGTAGGTTTATGGTTTGTGGTTTCATAGTCAGATGAAGCAGAATCCAATAAGAGCGTATAAAGCAGACTCTAGGAAGCCGGCTTGTTGAATGTTGTCTCATGGGGACCTTCGTGGGGTTGGGGGCCTTCATAGCCCTGATAAGGACTATAAGGGTCTAACAAGGCCTATGTAAGGAAGTGTAGCACCCTACCNNCCCCCCCCCCCCCCCCCTACCCTTTACCCCCCCCTCAGGGCCTCTATGATTGTATCCCGTCACAAGCCAGCCCTCATACATCATTCGTCAGTCGTTGGTTTAACTATCCTTACCATCCCTGCTTGGGGACTCAATGTGCAATGGTTGCTCATATTCTGACAGAATGACGTATAGCCAGAACACTACAGCACATGACTATGCAGTCCGCGCTTTTTGTGAGGGCAACTGGAATGTCAAGGAACTTAGCCTAAGTTACTGCAATAAGGATGATACCCCATTATTTTACTATATATCCACGTTATGGTAGCTTAAACCCCTAGGCCCTACACCCTGATAGATCTTTTGGTAAGTTAGATTAAGTTCTTTAGCAGCAACCCAGTAAAGGGAGGACTTCAGGCCCAAAAAGCAAACACTCATTCTTTCTAGGATTTAGGATTTAGGGTTTATAAGGCTCAGGAGTTGAGGGTTTAGGATTTAGGGCTTATAAGGCTTAGGAGTTCAGGGTTATGATTTTTCAAGATTGCAGAAGTGGATCTTAGCCGAGGGCTCTAAGGTTCGTCTAGGCTAAAGACCACACTGCGCAGAATAAGATTTATTGGGCCATTGTGAGCCTTGGGGTTCTGTGCGAAAGGTGCAGTTCTAAGTGCTTACGCCTCATGGATGGCAGACGTGGAAAGGGCCTGGCTTGAGAGAGGCGTAAATGTGCGAGCAGCTACTCCATCGCTCATCATTCTCCCTGCAGACATGGAAGTGGAAGTTCAAGGAAACCTAATACAAACCTTGAATAGCTGGATCGTTTTCAGAGGATCCTCCAGATCCTGCTTTCATGGCTCCGATCTATTCAACTTAGCTTGGTTTCCGGAATTTCTAGACTGTGCCCCAAAGGTTGTCTCATGCCAATGACCATGAAGGCAGTGTGGAGCGTTTTTGGAAATATGTGCTTGCCGTCATGGCTTCTCGTTTAGGGCACCAGGCCATGTCAGCCAGTAGGTGTAGTCATCCGGAAGTCTTCTAAAAAGCACTGCTGTAGAGCCACGTGTAATTTGCATTCGGTTGCCTACACAACCGGGACCCCCCTGGAATTCCAGCACGAGTGAGTGCTTGAGTACCGACCGAAGCCCTGTGCAGGGTGACATCATCACTGCTGGCCAGTGCCGCCCTTTGGCGAAGACGGTGCGCTTCAACGTGATCAAGGCCTGGGGCTGGGCCTGTCAGAACATAAGATAACTTGTTGACGTCCTGTGACGGAAGATTGCGTACATACTTATGTAGTTGGTCATGGGAATCGCCTCGTTCTCAGAAGCCTCGGATTGCTTCCAGCGCGAGCCTAGCTTGCCCAGCTGTCGCAGCGACGTTTTTGCTTTCCTCTTTTGAAAGGTGCCACAGGTAGAGGGCTATGGTTTCAATCTTGATATCAGTCTGTTGAAGGCACTGTCTCTGACACAACAACACCCACAGCCTCACAAAGTAACCTACGATAGAATGAGAATGTCTCGTGAAGCCGTCCACCCCAAGGCCAAGCAAAAAGCCACTGAACCCTAAAACCAAGCCCCCGAACCCTAAACCATACCAAACCTTCAAGCTAATGTCTCAAGAATCTTCTACAACCGTGAGCTGACCAAGCCCCGAACCCTAAAACATACCAAACCTTCAAGCTAATGTCTCAAGATTCTTCTACAACCCTGAGCTGCCCAGGTGGACAAGAATCAGATCTTCGGATCGGCGCGAAAGCAGCTACTCGCCGTGATGCAGATCGTGGATAGTTTTTGTGTGCGTTGATCTTGGTTACCAGGGCTTACGGCTGATGGACAAAATTCTGCATGACCCAAATATAGTATAGTACCATAAATCCCATAGTTTAGGTATATAAGGTCATGCAGGATTTTGTCCATCAACAGTATGGTCTAGGCTACACCCGGATCCTGAGCCCTTTGCAGAGCTTCAAGTTCGGGTGGCAAGCATCCGGATAGGATTTAGGAGTTTAGGGTTTAGGGATGTTTAGGGGTTTAGGGTTCTCAGGGTTCCGGTTACACAGCCTGCAGCGACATGGGAGGCTCAGAAGGTTCCAGGTCCTCTTGAAAGGCTTACCCCTGGTGTGGCACGATGGGAGTTTCAGAAAATTACCAAGAAGACCCAACACCCCTTAATTAAGGAATATACCTTAAATCATGTTATTAAGGTCTCTATAACTTAAGGTATATTTCTTAATTAAGATGTATTGGGTTCTCTGGGCTGATATGCAGCTTCTGAGTTCCTCTATGTGACGATCCCTCGGTGCGAAAGGCTTAAAGTCCTACTTCTGGCCTGCGTCTCCGATTACCTGCTGTTTCCAGGGTTTGACTTAACTTAAGGGTTTAGGGAAACCCTAAACCGTAAACCCTAAACCCTAAACCCTAAACCCTAAACCCTAAACCCTAAACCCTAAACTTTAAACCCGAAACCTACCATTTTGGGAGGGCTGGAGGCTACACGTAAGCCGAAATCCGAAACACCACCCAGCACCTAAGGTTCGCCCTGTTCTGAGCCGCGGAACACTGCAAAGTTATACTGGCAGGGACTTGAGCCACGCAAGGACGCGCTGCGGCCGGGCAAACAAAAAGCGTCCTTGTCTGCGAACGCACAACCTGCATTGTCCAGAATCGGCCATGGTCTGTGTCCAAAAGACCCAACAATCAGGTACTTAGGTGTCGGATAGTAGTTATGTAGGTTACTATTTGGGAGAGTATATGATTATCAATAGAGGGGCCTTAATCATTAGTCATTAGAATCGGGTTTGTGGTTATAATAAGGAATCCTTACAACCTGGTTCTAACTATTACGGCCCCTACATTTAGGTACTTGGACCCTTAGGGTATAGTTCCCCTACCTTCAGACAGGAGGCTTGGGGCTATTGGCAAGCTCACTGCGGCGGTACTTATAAGCCAGTCAGAATAGCTTAGGGTTTAGGGTTAAGGGTTTAGGGTACTTATAATCCAGTCAGTCAGAATAGCTTAGGGGACTTATGATTGGGTTATGGCTCAGTACTCCAGGCCTCCAAGTAGGGTAGGCACTGCAGCTTATTTTCCGTTGGGAGTCGGTCCTTTCGTAATTAGTTGAGCCCTCGTTGCACTGGGGGTACACGAGATGTTGTTCATCAGCAGTCTCACCAGTAGCTTCCGACATTCGGCTAGGACTTCAAGTTTGAGGCAGAAGGAACTATATTTTGGGAGTTTGGGGGCTGGCATTCACTGGGTAGTGGCCTGCAATTTCCAGAGTTGTGTTAGATTGGGTGCGTGAGGGCGATCCTCATCCCGAAAACTTGAGTCTTCAAAGTTCGAATCTTTGGCTACGGCAGTTACGGCAGTTCTGGGTGATGTCCGAAACTATGGCTTGTGCTTCGGAGGGTCAGTGCGGTTGAAGACATGGCCAAGAGAAGCTTCAAGTAAACGAGGCACAGTTCAACACCCTTGGCCCAAACCCAAACTTGACAAACTCTGACTAACCGCCAAGTCTTAAGCTGTCAACCCTCAACCTAAAAATTACCAATTCCCGAGCTCTAGAATCAGCCAAGCTCTAAGCCTAAGCTTTTGTTTCTCTCAGGCCCAAAACCCCCAAACTCCCAAAACCCGAAACCTCTCCTTAAAAAAAATCCGTTCACCCCGAAATCAAACTCCAAAGACTGCATGAGTAATATAGCGGCCTAAATAATTATCACTACTTTTTTTTTGGGGGGGGTCCTTACTATAATAGTTTAATGGACACCTAAAACCGCCTATTCTAATTCGTAATGGCCCTACATCAAGCCTCTAAAACCCTGAGCCCCCACGCAGGTCGAGCCTCCCCCGGCGCCGGCCCAGTTGTCCCGGGGCCAGGCGTCCTCCTCTAGCCGCGAGTGCGAGGACCGGCAGGGTTTAGAAGGGCTTCGGGCTTAAGGGTTCAGGGTTCAGGGTTTAGGGTTTAGGGTTTAGGGTTTAGGGTGTAGGGTTTAGGGCTTAAGGGCTTAAGGGCTTGGGGTTTAAGGGTTCAGGGGTTAAGGGTTCGGGGTTTAAGGGTTCGGAAGGGTTTGGGGCTTAAGGTTTAGAGGCTGCGGGTTTAGCGTAGGGTTGGGAAGGGTTTAGGGCTTAAGCTTTAGGGCTTAAGCTTTAGGGGTTTTGGGGTTTTGCGTTTAGGGTTTTCAGGGGCTTAAGTTAAGGCTGTGCATCTGGGCTTTCTGTTCAGGGGTTTGTTGCAGATCGCATCATGATTATGTTGTGGGTTTTGATAGGGTTCAAGCAGGTTTAAGTTTCGTATATGGGATGTTCAAGGGGTCATGCAGGCTTTATGGGATTATTGAGGGGTTGACAGGGTTTGTGTAAGGCTCTGGGTTTAGATGCCTGGGTATACGCGGAATAAGGTCTGACAAGGCCGCAAAACACAGAGATGTCGACGGCTCCTGACGATGTTTTTCTGGCCAGGCTGTGCAGCACGGCATCTTCAACCTTAGATTACCATGAAATGCTACGAACTCAACCTCGCAGCCCTAAGCACCGAGATCCACTCTACGATCCTAAACAATTGCATCGAACTTTCCTTCTTGCTTAAAGTCTGTCCCATCTAAGCATCTACGCCTGTTCTTTAAGCCTTTTGCGCCGGCATGTCTTTGTCCCCCGACCTGCCAGGAGACGCCAGCAGCAGCGAGTGCATCGTCAAGACCTCAGCCTGTCTCGGTGTTGATCTATGGGATAGGGGCCTTGATGATTGGACTAGGGTTTTGGGGTATGGTATGCTAAATTTTAGTACAACAGGGAACCCTCCAACATACTACTACTAATGGTTCAGGCTTCTAGATTACGTGGCCAGTGGATTAAGGTGTTCGGGGACAGCGGCATCATAGGTTTGAGGCTCTCAGTGTTTAGGCATCAGGTTCCAAGCCGAAGAGCCTCTAAGCCAAAGGCCTAAACCTACGTGATGTCAAGTGCTGGGAAGCTGGCTTCTATGAGTTCGATGGCTGTGTCTGTGTCGGTTTAGGGTTTAGGGTTTAGAGTTTAGGGTTTAGGGTTTAGGGTTGACTTCACGACACGCAAAACCGATTAATGTGGCAAGTTTACACACTTGCCCCCTCAAGCAACATGTTCAGCGAAAAATCAGCCACGCAGTGCAGAGCACGTAGGCCGTTAACGGTGGATGGCTCGAGGCTGAGGCTTACACTCTAGGCGGTGGTCTGAGAGCCCTAAACCCGAAAGTTCCATACACCCTTAAAGCCTAAAGCCTAAGCCCAAAACCCCAAACCCTCTAAACCTGAAATCCGGATACCCCTCTGCCTACCTTCATGCCTCCATTTTGGAGCCAAAAAAATAGCAATCATATTCTCTCAGTCCCTAGATACTGTTACTATAATGTGCCGCAAAATGCACGTCTAATCCGAAAGGCCGCTACATCGTAGAACCCATACATACGACACCCTAAACTCTAACCCACCCTCCTTACAGACATCCGCAACCCTAAACTCTCCGAAAACTGCGATTGAGGCCGCCGACCTGAACTGAGGGACAATGTACGTTTGATCACATCGCCCTAGACCCAAAAGGGTCTATAGGGTCTAGGATCCAGGGTTAGAGTTTAGGATTTCCGTTTTAACCCTAAGTCCCCCTTCAGGTTAAGACATATTCCTCGATTAAGGACCCTAAACCCCGAAACCCTTAAACCCTATACCCTTAAACCCTAAACCCTAAGCCCTTAAGCCCTTAAGCCCTAAACCCTTAAACCCTAAACCCTTAAACCCTAAACCCCTAAACCCCTAAAGCCTAAATCCTGAAACCCTAAACCCTAAGCTCTTAAGTTCAAACCCTAAACCCTTAAACCCTTGAACCCTAAACCCCTAAACCCCTAAACCCTAAGCCCCAAATCCTGAGCCTTCAAACCCTAAACCCTTAAACCCTAAACCCTTGAACCCTTAAACCCTTAATCCCTAAACCCCTAAACCCTAAACCCTGAAACCCCAAACCCTAAGCCCTTAAGCCCTAAACCCTGAGCCTTCAAACCCTGAGCCCTTAAGCCCTAAACCCTTAAAC